CCATAACCCTGACCCTCGATCCTCTTTTTCCGTGGATTTCGATTTAGCTCGAATCGATGGTAGTATTTGACTGAATCCCTCGATACCTAGGAGCACAAGAGGAGGTTTTTACCGTAGAAATCAACTATGGTGGATTTTTCTGTGGAGTTGGCCGATCGAAGACGTATGTCGATGGTAAAGTTGCTCTGTTCGATGGTTGCGAAGTAGATACATGGTCTCCTCTCTGGCTCACTGATTTTATGCAGCAATTGAGATATAGTGACCAATCTAAGCATGTTATTTACTGGTTACTGCCTAGAAAGAATTTAGCCGACAGACTGCCGATTGTGGACTGTGACACTGACACTTTGCACATGACAGCAGTTGTTCCAAAATTCCAGTACTTTCAGTTGTTTGTTGATCACAAAGATATGGCCTTTGACAATGTAATGGATGATATTCATGTTAGTGGTACACCTGAGCTACCTCTTGTACTAAGCCCTAAATCTCATGGGTTTAGCAGTGGAATAAGAGGAAGTCCCAGGTTTAAGGTGAAAGCTCACAAAGGCAGACTAAACCAATGTCATGCAGGCAGCAGCAATGAAGGGAGTAGCAGTGTTCCACCAGTGGGACTAAATGTTGGACATGAGCTTAGAAGAAGCAGGAGGAAACTTGTGGTAGAAGAAGAAATCCCCAATGAAAATGACAGTGACAGTGATAGTGATGACAGTGAATGGGATTCAGACTGGGTAGACTCTGACAATGAAGTAGGCAAAGATGATGATGATCTATATGAAGAATGGGTTGATGAAAAATTTGAGAAAAAAAAAAGAAGAAATCTGAATGGGAGCAGGACAGTGACTATGATACAGATGAACTGCAGGAGCTACAAGGTTCAGAGCTTGAAGATAGTGATTCAGCAGAGGAAGTGGAAGTAGTAGATGCACAAGGAAGGAAAAAAAATGAAAAAGAAAGTGAAGCTGAAAAGGTGGAGGCCTGAGAACATGAAAGAAGTCAATTTTCACATAGGCATGGTGTTCTTGTCTGTCATTGAACTAAGAGCAGCAATTCAGGAGTACATTGCGAAGCAAAGAGTGCAAATTCATTACATAAAGAATGATAAGCAGAGGATAAGGGCAGGTTGTGTTGGAGATTGTCCCTGGTTCTTATTTGCTGCACCTGACAGCAGGACCAAAGCATGGGTTGTGAAGAAGTATGTGGGTGAGCATACATGTGAAAGAGAGTGGGCACTCAAGCAATTTACAGCAAGATATTTGGCTGGCAAGTATGTGGAAACATTTAGAGCAGATGAGAAGATGACACTGCAAAACTTTGGCAGACTTGTTCAATTGGACTACAACATGCAACCTACTAGAAGTAAGCTAGCTAGAGCAAGGAGGATTGCACTAAAGATAATTCATGGAGATGAACTTGAGCAGTATAATTTACTGTGGGACTTTGCAGCTGAAATCAGAAGATCAAATCCTGGCAGTACCATGCTTGTGCATGCAAACAATGGAAAGTTTGATAACTGCTACATGTCCTTAGATGCATGCAAAAGGGGTTTTCTGCTAGCTTGTAGGCCCATTATATGCATTGATGGGTGTCACATTAAGAACAAGTATGGTGGAGTGATGCTGACAGCTGTTGGAGTTGATCCTAACGATTGTATCTTTCCCATTGCAATTGCCATAGTAGAAGTGGAAGATACTGTCACATGGAAGTGGTTTTTGAACACACTGAAGGAGGATCTGAACATACAAAACACAGCACCATGGACATTGATGAGTGATAGGCAGAAGGTAGTAAGAACATTGTAGCATTTCATACTGTAGCATTTCATACTGTAGCATTTCATATTATCATACTGTAGCATTTCATTTGTTTGTTCTACAATGTATGTAGGGCTTGACCAATGCTGTCAATGCAATGTTTCCTGATGCACAACATAGATTTTGTGTGAGGCATCTGCATCAAAACTTTGCAAAAAACTGGAAAGGTGATGTATTCAAGAATAAATTGTGGCAAATTGCAAGAGCTACACATGAGACAGACTGGAAGAAGTACATGCAAGAGATGAAAGAGTTGGACCAGGGGGCCTATGAGTACTTGGATGCGATTGACCCAAGGCAATGGTGCAAGGCCTATTTCCATGAACTCCCAAAGTGTGATTTGCTTCTTAACAACAGCTGTGAAGTGTTCAACAAGTAAGTTGTCAGTACTGTAGCATTTCAGCTGTGAAGTGATTTCATATTGTCAGTACTGTAGCATTATCTAACTGTAGTTATTTCATAGGTATATACTTGATGCCAGAGAAATGCCTATAGTTACTTGTCTTAAGAAGATCAAGGACCAATTAATGACTAGGTTTTATAGCAAGAATCTGGAATCTGAGGAGATGTGTGGTCAAATTTGTCCAAAAATTAGAAAAAAACTGGACAAAAATATTAACATGTCCAACAACTGCACTGCATTACCAGCTGGACAACACATATTTTATGTTAAAGGCATGGTTGGGGAGTATGATGTGAACATACAGAAGGAGGAGTGCTCTTGTAGGGCATGGCAGCTCTCTGGAATTCCATGTAGACATGGAGTTGCATGTTTAAGACATGAAAGAATTAAACCAGAGGATGTTGTCAACAAGTGCTACAGCATAGATGCTTTCAGAGCTGCTTATGGCAAGATCATAATGCCATGTAGTGATCCTAGAGTGTGACCTAAAACTAATGGGCCTCAAATGCTGCCACCACACTATGAGAAGAAAGTTGGTAGGCCTGGAAAGAAGAGAAAGAAGAACCCACTAGAGGAGGACAATGGAACTAGGATGAGCAGACATGGCATTATTGGACACTGCAGTGTGTGCAATCAACCAGGACACAACAAAAGAAAGTGCCCTGAACTAGGTAGAGGACAACCAACAGCAGCACATGAGGCAGGAGCAGAACAAGATCCAGCAGCAGAACAATATCCAGCAGCAGAAGAGGAAGCATCAGAACATGTGCAAACAACAGAACATGTGCCAATTCAGGTTGTGCTTCCAGAAACACAACAAAGAACTAAACTACCAGTCAAGAGAAGGCCCAGTTGTAAGGTGCATTTCCCTTAAATGTTTCCCTTAAATGCCGTTGAAAACTAAAATTGCAATAGTCAACAACATTTCTTATTTTTTTTGCAGAAAAAGGCATGTCCACAAGTGGGCAGAAGTACATCTAATATGATATCTTCTTCTATGAATTATGATCTTGCTTCATCTACTGTGATTGAGATTTTACAGGACCAAGTGAGAGCTTTTTATTTAAATGCAATGTTAATAAATGCAATGCCATCTGTTCTTCCAGAAATTCACCTACATTACTAAATACATGTTTGGTTGGTTTGTAGGCTATAGCTACTCAACAATCTCAAACAGCAGTGCCAGCTCCTCTACCAGAAAGCCAGTTCATTGCAAACTGCAGAGATGCCCTGCCAGCTCCAAGAAGCCACACTACTGCTACACTAGGTTTGAAGAGAAGGAAGAAAGTGAAAATAAACTAAGGAGAACAAAGCCCCAACAACTCAGAAGTGAAGAGCTACAAAGATGTTATGGAAAGAAGCAGTGTAGGATGTTTTTTTTACTTAGGAAACAAGGTGGTTTGTAATGAAACCTTATGCTAAGATGTGGCTTTGGGTTTCACACAAACCATGGAAATGTAATACTTTTGTTGCACAACTTCAAGACCTTGTAATGTTGGGTCCATCTATCTATCTTTCAGACTGCTTTGAAGTTCAGTTAGTAAAAGAATGGCCTTGCATATTACTATTTATTTGTGTTGTCAATGCTAGTAAAAAAATGGTGCCAAAGTACAGAAAAACAACCAAAATGCTGCCAAATTTTAGTTCAATTTCATTGCAACAGTAAATCATCAACATCTGGATACACCAACAAGCATTGATCACTGGATACATCATACTAACACATCACTTCTTAAATCCTACATACACCACAATTACAATCAGTACAACAAGTGCACTGAGAATACTCCTACAGAGAAAAATGAGCTTATTCATCTTCTGCATTGCTTCTGCATATGCCACAGTCTCGACAGTGCTATGCATTGCTCCTGCACGAGCATCTTGCACCTCTGTTTCTTCACTTGCAATGACACCAGCCGAATCTAAACTGCTCAATCCACGGCTGACATACCCAGCTCTCACCAAAAAATCAAAATAGTTGTCTGGTCCATCTTCCCAATAATAATGTTGGCAAGGATTTGGTTGAATCTGATAGAAATTGAGCAAAAAAAATTCAGTCAAAAAGAAACACAGAAACATCAAATCGATTGGGCACTTGTAAAAGATCTTACATGGTGATTGGGGCACTTGTAGAAAATCCTGCCAGGATTTGCCTTCGATTTTGACACAAGACGAATTGTAGATCGAATGCGGCAGCTAGGGCATGGTACCAACGGCAGCATACCCGCGACAGCCGGCGATGAGATGGGCGGCGAGAAAAGGGCTAATGCCGGAGGTGGAGCAGGCGCTTGGGCAGCCTTCTTCCCGCGGTGCTTCACGGCAGACGAGCTAGCGGCGGCGGACATGGCGGCGACGGCGCGGCGCCAGAGAGAGGGAGAGAGCAAGCAGAAGACCTAGGGACCGAGGAATGAAGAGAGGACAAACTCCAGGGGCCAAACTGCTTAAATTACCAACCTCCAACCGCGGGAACTATCCCGCGTGGGCCCTCGAGTCGACGTGGCAGCGGTCAAAGCGCCACGCGAGCTGGTCAGCGGCGGACAGACGAAATTAGGACCTCGGGTGAACAACTTAGAAAGATTTAGGACCCAAATGTGCATTTTGAAAGAATTAGGACCCAGTCGATATTTTTGGAAAAGAATTAGGACCGCGCTTGCATTTTACTCGAAGCCAAAAACTACACGAGAAGCCCACAGGGAGGCGAAGCGAAAGCAAAACCGCAGGACTAGCAGGAGAGACAGAGATCGCCCGAACCCTAACCCTACCAGCACCTCCCGTCGCCGGCTGAGATGGCGATGGACGCGGAGCGGCGGCAGGCGGAGCTGATCGAGCAGTTTTCGGCGCAGGCGGCGGCGCTCTCCTCGGCTCCTCAGCTGGCGGCGCTCGTGCTCGAGGCCACCTCCCACCCGGCGCTCTTTGCCTTCTCCGAGCTCCTCACCCTTCCAGCCCTCTCCAAGGTATCTGCTGCTTGCTCTGCCCGTCTATGCGCCGACGCGGTGTTAGGTGTTAGGGTTTTCAGTTCCCACCGATGGGGTTTCTGATTCGATCTATTGTTCCGTGGTGTGGCTCCTCTGGTGCAGCTAACGGGCACGCAGTACGCCTCGTCGCTGGACCTGCTCCGCCTCTTCGCCTACGGCACCCTCAAGGACTACAAGAGTAAGATATCTCCCTTGGCCTGATGTGCACACATGATGCATTGCCCTTTTGATTTGATATGTAGGCGGTGTTTTGTTTATTCCAGTTTGTTGTATTTTGTGCTTTGTGACTCATTATCTGATCTGCCATGTGTTTGTGTAGTACGCTATTAATTTAGCCATTTGCCCTGAAGCCCTAATGAACGCATAACAGGGCAACTTTGCTGGGGACGTTAAATCTACATAATTTTACTCATCTAATTAACGGTTGATGTTTACGCTTTGATGCTCAGTTGAATTAATACAAATAGCCACCTGTTCCTGTGTTGTGTCCTTTGCAGATAATTTCCAAATTTTGTTTTGATGTGCTTAAAAGTAGAGCTTCAGCTCTGGTAACCAATTTGCCTTTTTATGCAGCAGTCACCCTTTTCTGGGTGAAATTGTTGCTGGCATGAATTCCTTCCTGCCTTTGGGCATCTGACTTAGTTTAGCATGTCTTTGATTGCTAGAACTTTGTTTCATCTATCATCACCATTAGTATGCCCTGCAACATACGAAAATATGAAAATGTATTGCTTGAGTAATTACTCTTTATCTGTAGGTAATTCTAGCGCCCTCCCTGCATTGTTGCCTGATCAAGCCCGGAAGCTGAAGCAACTCAGTGTGCTAACTTTGGCTGAGTCAACCAAGGTATAAATTCTAGCTATCTTGTCTAATATGCCTAGCATTTCTGTGCAGCTCCCCTTTCTTTGGACACAGAATGAAACTTGATAAACTCGCATGTAATCATGTGAGCAGTAGTTCCAGTGCTGCCTGTCGTTTTAGGACGGCGTATTTGTTGTCTGGATTTCTTGAATCTTCTAGTGCCTCTTAGTTCTCTAGTTGTAAATGGTTTGTGTATTTCTGTATGTTTGGGAGCCAAGTCTGCAAGGTTTACTGGTATTTTTCCTTTATAAATTGATAAACAATAGCTGCAGGAACTTCATTATGTTTGTGTAATCAAGGGTTACAAAATTTCTGGGCCTATCTTTATCCTTTTAGCTTGATTAAACGTATATACTCCCTCCGTTCCTAAATATAATACTTTTTAGAGATTCCAATATGGACTACGTACGGAGCAAAATGAGTGAATCTACACTCTAAAATATGTCTATATACATCTGTATGTAGTCTGTATTGAAATATCTAAAAAGGCTTATATTTAGAAACGGAGGGAGTAGGCAGTAATTCTTTTTAATTCTGATATGAGCTATGTTTCACGCCAGGTAATCGTAAACATACTTTTTTTCTCATTCCTTTCTTAGGTACTTCCATATGATCAGCTCATGCAAGAGCTAGACGTTTCCAATGTGAGAGAACTTGAAGATTTCCTCATCAATGAGTGCATGTACTCAGTGAGTCCTTGTGTTCTCTTTTATTACACACTTGCATTCTATATATTCTCATCCTTCAACTTCATTAGCAAGAAATGGCTCTTTTGAAATTATTATTTATCATTTAGTGTAGTGTCAAAAACGCACTTATATTATGGGACGGAGGGAGTATTTTTCATATTTGTGAGATTTAGATTGTGATATGCCTTTGCTGTGTGGTTTTGTCTTTACCCTTTAGGATTAATATACTGTGTTTCTTGATTTCCAAAACATTTAGTTAATTTGCTTCAATTTTGTAACATTTTGCATGTTTCATTAGGGTATTGTCAGAGGCAAGTTGGACCAACTGCGGCGGTGCTTTGAAGTAAGACATATGCAGCCTATATATGTTACATCATTGATGAATTTGTTCTTCATCTTTCTAGCAATATTCCCTTATTATTTGTTTCCTTGTATTTCAGGTACAATTTGCAGCTGGAAGGGACCTCACACATGATCAGCTAACCAACATGATTGAGACCTTGTCTGACTGGTGTGTATTTATATGTTTCGACAAGTTTATCTCCATCTGTTCAAGAAATGTGAATCTTTTCATATTGTTTTGAATAACCATTATTTGGTTAGTGTAATTTTCAGTTCTGTTCTGAAACTGTAGTGGGTAGCATGTCTAGGCATGTTTTTTTTTCTCTCTGCTATGTCTGAATCCCCTTATTAGTTATGAAGGAGATAAGTGTCTGTCAGTTGGCTGTTGTGACATGTATGCATGTTGTTTTTCTACGACTGACATTTCAATAACAAACTAAAGAAGTTAAAATATTGGTTTTATATCCACTGTGCATTATGAAGTGACTATTGCAAGGAGGCTCGACAGAAGTATATTGCTACCATTATGATCCAAATGTGTACATTTCACAGGTTGGGAACATCAGATAATTTATTACACCAAATTCAGGAGAAAATCAAGTGGGCGGATACAACAAGTGAATCGAACAAGAAGCACCAGAAAGAATTTGAAGACAGAGTGGAAGAAGCCAAGAAGTCAGTCAAGGTCAGTTGGATAAAATTGAAAGTTCCTACTATTTATAGTTTTTAGTAGGTATAAAATATTTTCCTTTTTTCTGTAGCAATATATAGTCTTGCATATCTCATACGACAATAGGTTGTTGATTATATTCATTCTGCTGTATTTTTTACCTAAAGTTGTTCGCTTTCTGATTTTAGTTATCAACTGTTGAATGTTCATATGGTAGCAACTAATTTTATTAAATAGTGGAATTGCCGGACCATTTTCTTACTTGATAGCAGAAGTTGAACAATGTAAGCAGGCAGACAATGACTTACGGGGGCATGACGACTTTCTCTCTGAATCTGGAGGAATAATGGATTTTGAGGAGGACCGCATCCGACCAAAAAGGTATTTCATCAGAGGTCACTTGGGAATTTTTGCATCTGTTCTTCATTAGTATCTTGCTATTTTGGCTAGTAATAACTAAATTATACTCCCTCCGTTCCAAACTTTAAGATCCTTTTTTGACACTATGAAAAAAGCTATGCAGTCTATGGCTATGTTTTTAAGGCGTCGCCTAAGCGTCGCCTAGTCGTCGCCTAAGCGTCAAGGCGCCCCAGGATGGCAGGGCGTCTACCCCGCCTTAGACAGACATGAAGTGTACGGCTGTGGCTGCCCTAGTTCTGGCTGCTCCTGGGGCTTGGAGATGACGGCCCCGCTGTCTCCCGGCACCATGAAGAGGAGGGAGGACTGGGGGCTCCTGGGGCTTGCTGCTGTGAGGGAGAAGGGTGGGGCCATGAAGAGGAGGGAGGGAGGACCAGAAGGGTATGGCTTCGTGGCGGCTGTGGTGGGAAAGAAGGGAAGGAGATAGTGGAATTAGGTCACGGGGGTGTATATGGCCACTAGATGGGCTTTTGGGCCACTGGGAGGTGCATAAGTAGTGGCCCATCTCTCAGCCATTGCTCTTTTTCTAGTATTAATATGTGCAGACCTATTGATGACTCTTTTCCTGCAATGTTTAAGGCGTCGCCTTGCCTCGCCTTACCGCCTCGCCTTGGCGCTTAGGCGTCAGAGCGGCCCTCCTCCGCCTTATGACGCTTTACCGCCTTAAAAACATAGGTCTATGGACTATTAAAAAAAAATTCTAGCGAAACCATCCATTTTGGATAACTGAATGTGGACTCGCTCCACTCAGTTTGTATTGCCTACTAGCACAATGCCCATGCATAGTCATAAAAAACGAAGAGTTAAGCCACTGGTTTAGGAGACGGTGAAAAGATGATAGTGTCCTAAGGCTGTTACACGATTGACGATTAAAATAAAGCAAAAATATGATAAGGAGTGGTAGGCGTCAGAGGATTTTAAGTGACCGTAGTAGGTACTTTGCAAGATTTGAAGTGAGACATCATATGCAAATTTAAATCCTATCAAGGTACTCCCTCCATTCCAAATTACTCGTCGCAGAAATGGATGTATCTAGAACTAAAATACATCTAGATACATCCATATCTACGACAAGTAATTCGGAACGGAGGGAGTAGTCATTAGTAAGTTGATTGCGGCACAAGGCCATGGGTCTGGTATTTGTTTTTTTGTGTTAGGTCTCACATGTGAGCAAAGTACAATTATTTATGTCTCTTTGAAGGTTGTGGGGAGGAGTGTATTTGTTTATTGTGAAACCTGGTAGGCCTACATGCGAATTCACCACCAAGTTCAGCATTTATAATTACTAGGAAAGATGCTTTTCCATGTTATTAGAAATTACATACAAGTATCAAATTATGATTAACTTGGTTATAATCTTGTATTTCAGGAGGCGACAACCAATGTCATAGTTTGACTGAAGTATCACACCTATGGTCCCTGCTCGCAGAAGTGACGAATGCTGTTCTTGAGACATTTTGTCACCGGAGTTTAGGAGCGTCAATTAGGGTGCTTTCCATGAAGCGAGTCTGTTGAGAAAACGCTTGTTTTTGGTATGAGATGTTACAAGGAGATGATTTACTGCCGCATTTATTAAGTAGCACAAAGGGCATATGGGTGACTTAGCACTGTAAAGATTATGGTTCTGAAAAGGTTGGTGACCTAAGGTGATCGCTCAGTTTGGTTTGGTTTTGTTGCGCTCTCTGACCCGAAGGCCTTTGAAACTGATAGCCAATAGTACAAATCAAACTGACGCAACTACAACCTAGCCAAAGCTAATTTCTGTAATTTTGAATGTTAAGCGAAAGTTTGACAACGCCACTATAGCCTAGCTAAAGCTAATTTCTCTAATTTTGAATATGACATCGTGTTGCCTTTTGTCTCTGCGTTTCAGCTAGTCTCGGCTATAGCCTGTGCGACGTCTTATCTTCCGTCTATCACATGCTAGCTGATAGTGGCCTAACCTGCGCCTCAAATTTCTCATTTTCTGACGGGTTGACCCTGATCTGATAAGTTAATGACATTGATAAGTCCTGAACCGCTTGGGATTTGACCAATGTTTTTTGTGGCAATTATTTGTTAACCATGACAAGTTTAGTCGGTAAGCATGACAAATCCACCCTCAATTTGGCTTTTGCCACGAAATTGCTGTGCTTGCCAACTAAACTTGTCAACCCTTGTGTCAACTAAAATTGCCATAAAAAAACGTTCAGATTTTACCTTTTCCAAAGCTTAAATATGTAGAAAATGAGGCTGGAAAATTGAAGGAACTAGGTGAAACCCCATGTGTTCTGCAGAAATTGGCTGCCATATATCTTCATTAATATTTGATTGTATGAAGATGAATATTTGAATTAGTAATATATTGCATAGCTTTGGAAACATCATATGTACACCCAATTACCGTTAGGGAGTTTATTAAAAAAAACCCGGCAAAAGTGTGGAAGAAGAAAATTGGGTATGAAGGACACACACATGTTTGCAATTGGGATGATGGTAGCTAGCTGTATGTGCTTTAAAATTATTAGTGGGACTAGCTATTTAGATATAAAAGATTGCAGGGTTGTGGTGGGCAGCATAAAAACACTCAAACGGATGCCGAAACAATCCACAAAAGGTAATTCACACAAAATCAGAGACTGGGAGGTTAGAGCAATTCCAATGGGGCGACCCATTTCGTCCGCCCGCGTCCGTTTGGGTTGGCGCGGACAAAAGTAGCGGCCCAACGCGCCGACGCAAACTCAAATCGTGTATGCCTGTCGTTCGCGCCAACTCATTTCCGGCCCAAAATTGCGCCTGGTCCGCCGCGTCCCCACCTGGCGGCCACCCAACCGCCACCGGTCATCTTATTTATGACGACCGACAGCGGGCCCACGCGTCAGCCAGTGGAAGCATCTTTTTTTAACCACGCGTGCGGCGGGGTCGACCTCATCCACTTCTCCCGTCCACATCTACCTCCCCCCACCACTCCCTTTGCTTCCTTGCCGGCGACCGCAAACCCTAGCCATGGGCCTCTTCGGCAGCAGCAATGGCAAGGGCAAGGGCATCCCCGATGCCTCGTCCTCCCGTGCTCCCCTTCCCCCTTCCTCCTCCTCCGGCGGCGACGCGTTTCCGCCCTGGTCGCCGGCGCCTGGACATCCCGGTGCACCAAGCGCGGTGGCGCTGGGAGTACATGCAGCCATTGTCGTACCCTGATGTCAAGCTGCCGCACCGTTGGCATCTGGATCCGCAACGGATCCCGGTGCTGGCGGTTCCTCGTACCCAACGTGCGCACGACGACGAGGTGCGCAGGCGCCGCGCGCAGCTTACGCCGGAGCGGCGTCGACTGCCAGAGTACGCCGTCAACTCCCCCAACTGGGAGGCGTGGTTCGCCCTCGAACACGAGGAGCAACGACCCTCGGGTGTCGACGCCGTCCCACCGCCGTTCCCACCGCCGCCCCCGCAGGTAAAGCCGGAGGACATGGAGGCGGAGGCGGAGTACCAAGCCGCCCTCGAGGAGGCCCTGCAGCACGTGCTGAAGGCTAGCCGACTCGAGGAGGACGCGCACTGGGATGGGCTGGAGCAAGCCCTTGCCCTGTCGGCAGCGGGGGACTCTGTCCACACCCCGCTCTTCGTGCCGCCACCGCCACCGTCGCCGCCCGTCCAGCCCAAGCCGGAGCCGGAGCCGGAGCCGGAGCCGACGCATAAGCGCTCCCCACCTCCACCCACTTGGCCGGAGGAGGCCTACTCGTGGACGGGTTAGTACCGCGAGTGGGTGAGCGCGCCTCCCGTCCACTTCGCCGCGACGCCGGAGGAGGAGGTGGCCCACCTCGAGCGATGGAAGGAGCACTGGCTCTGCCAGAAGCAGGCCGACGGCGAGGAGCAGATGCGCTACAACGTCATGCTCCAACGCGACGCATTATGTTTAATTATGTTTATTTATGTTTATTTCATGTAACTAATTATTATTTTTTCACGATGGCACATTTGGGTCGGCCTCCCCGTTGGGCGGTCAAACCGACCCATTTTAAAATGCGGACGCGCACGTCCGCCTGGCCGACCCAAATGAACAAAAAGCGGACAAAACACACGTCCGTTTGGGTCGCCCCGTTGGTGTTGCTCTTACACCACGTGACACATGTGGTAAACAATCCAGAGTATGCAAAAAGAGACTGGGAAGTTACTATGATCACTGCAGAGTGTTCACCAACGATGACAAAAGAAAACAAACAAGGCTATCACTATTATATACAAATGGCAGATATCTTAAAAAGTCGCCACCATTCCTTCCTTGCTGTTACAGATGTTAAGGCCTCTTTTGGTTCATAGGATAGGATTATTGTAGGAATAGGAATCTTGTAGGAAATGAGATGACATGTATCTCAAATCCTATGAGTAGGAATAGGGAACAAGATGTCATTTGGTTGATATCAAAGGAATTTTTTCATTGAGTCTAGCCTCATTTTTATTTCCTATGAAAGGTGGAGGATAGGAACCAATCCTATGTAGGAATAGGAATCCATTCCTATGAACCAAAGGCTCTAAAGGAAAAAATCCTATAAGAATTCTATCCTCTAGAATTCCTATAAAATTCGTCCAAACCAAAGGAGGCCTAAGGTGGCTGCTCAGATTGAAAATAGCTTGTCTTCCACTCTGCAGATAAAATAAAAATCGGACATGTCATCGCTCTAGAAAAGAGAGTAGAACAACAAAAGTTTAAAAAGCACATGCAAATTGGGAATCAAACAAATAACAAAAAATGCAGGGTGCAGCACATACTATTTTTTACGCGCAATCAATATCAAAAAAGAAAACGGTGTTGCACATTTCTTACTATTTAACTTCGTACATTTTTATTCGCCAAAAAAGAACTAGATTTTGAGCCATTAAGACATTATCAACATGTGAAGCAGAAATCAAGGCCACATTGCCACAAGTTATAAACAGTTAAGTTATATGCTTAAGAAACAGCAATAACATAATTACAGAGAAAGAAAGGAACGAAAAAGGAAGACAGTAACTGATCCATTCAGATGCGCATTGACATGCTCCATATCTATCCAAAGGCTGTCATCAGTTCGGTTATGAGAAGAATCACCTCACTCTAGTGATATACACAGATTTTCATGCTGCCGAAAGATAGATCACACAGAAGATAGATGCTCTTTATCCGAATTCAAGTTTTTTTTTACAACTCGAGAGTCATGCAACATCAAGTGCACAAAGCTATAATGTCAAATGAATTTTCTACCAGTTGAGTTACAGTAAGAGCAGTGACAGAGGTTGAAGGAAAATGTTGAGGGGGCCAAACTGATGAGGTATGCTTAAAATTTGAGAAATCTGATCAGTACTCGGTATCTAGATTGTATTATAAATATTTAGTTAAGCATATTTCTAGATTAGGATGGCCCGTTGGCCCCCCTTGGTCATAGGGAAGCTCCAC